TTGTAGCACTGATCTCACATACATTTTGTTTATCTTCCATGAACTCCATGTCAATGATTTTCATGTGACACACAAGAAAACCAAGTGAAAGAAAATAAATACTAAAGGATAAGATTTTGTGAGAGTTCGGCATTCAGGGGCCATAAATGAATTTACTATCTACAATTTGTTCACACTGCAAGAACTAAGGTTTGTACCCTTAGGAGCAATATCATCCCCAATAAAAATACACAATTGAGAAAACATCAATTTGATTTTTCAAAACAATTTTGCATTAATGTTCAGGTTTCCCAAAGAAGCTGGGGACATCCCAATTCTAGTTCATTCTTATGAAATTTTAAAAAGCCATGCATTACCTAAGGTCAATAATAATATCTAAATATGATAAAGTAAATTAGGTGTACCATTGTTTACATAGCGTGCAAGACACAAAATATCTTTCTCATTTCCTTTTTCATTGAAAACAAAAGTCGTTGCTTTTTGTATCCCAATAAACGAGGATAAAAGGAAAACAACTATGTATCTAAATGTGATAAAAAGATAGGAATGGAAGTAATATCTCACTGGAGAAAAAAGCTAACAAAATATAGCTTAGATATTCAGCCCAGGTTAGATGGACATTAACGAGCGGGGAAGAGCAGAAGCAAAATGGTGGAAGAGATGTAGATCAAAGGTAGCAAATGGGCATGAGCTCAATGAAAAGTAATCATTACTGGTCCACGGGGGGTGTTTGCAGCTTTAGTGAATTCAGCCTTACTAGACAGTTGAGGGTGATGAACCAAAGATAAGACATTGTGCACTAGGAAGGCAAATGTGTGAGAGCACAATATTCTCTCTGTAGAATGGACAAGTATAATTGTCTCAAGTTCTCTACTAGTAGATAGATAAACTCCGAAGATCAGTATTTTTTATGTTGTATGTTGTAATGTTTAATATTGAGTGCCAACTTGATTGAATTGAAGGATTCAAAGTATTGTTCCTAGGTGTGTCTGTGAGGGTATTGCCAAAGGAGATTAATATATGAGCCAGTGGACTGTGAGAGGCAGACCCAATGTCAATCATGGTGGGCACCATCTAAACAGATGCCAATATGGTTAGAATTAAGCAGGTGGTAGAAGATGGAAGAGGAGACTTGCTGAGTCTTCTGGGCTTCATCTTTCTTCCATGATGGATGCTTCCTGCCCTCAAAATCAGCTCTAAGTTCTTCAGCTTTTGGATTCTTGGACTTACACCAGTGATTTTCTAGGGGCTCTCAGGCCTTTGGCCACACATGAAAGGCTGCGCTGCCGACTTCTCTATTTTTGAGGTTTTGGGACTTGGACTGATCCACCACTGGCTTCCTTGCTCCTCAACCTGCAGATGGCCTATGGTAGGACTTCACCTTGTGGTCATGTGAGTCAATTCTCCTTAATAAAGTCCTTTTTATATATAAATATATCCAATTAAATACTTCTGTCCCTCTAATGTACCTCTCTAATAAGAAGCCAGGAAATAGATGATTTCAAAGGAAACTTCTCTTGACTTAATAAAAAGGACAATAATGATAACACTAATAAGAAGAATAAAAATTACTAAATTTTGTCATATTTCTTATCAATCAGATATTGTTCTTAGCACTTACAAAAACTATTTTCACTTCATTCAAAGAGAAATACACTCATTTTTCATATTTATTGAACATCTACTATGTGCCCATCCCTGTTTAGTTGCTAGAGACATCAGTGACCAAAGCAGACACTGACAGGTTGTACTATTGTCCCCTTTTACAAAAGGAAAACACAGAAGCACAGGGAGCTATTGAGTTGTGGAGCCACAGTTGGAACTCAAAACATCTGACTCTAAATCCTCAGTTCTTACATGCTCCCTGGGAATTATTTCTGGCCATAAGAACTAGAGCTGTTTTCTAGACCCTGATGAATGTTTTCTTAGTAGAGTCCTACATAAAGAAAGCCATGGTCTTTCTTTTCAGCTCCTTCATCCTCTCTTTCACTGAAAAGCCCTATTTTTTCTATGCCTGATATGTTACATTATAATGAAGATGGTCCCCAATTTATTTACATTATATACTAGTTTTGTTTTCTTGAGAACATATATTCATAAACTTGAATGTAGTTGCAAAATTCTTTATTCACCCTAGTAATATATTCATAAACAACTCTGTAAAACTGTATATTTCTATCCTTTTATTCAAATATCCTTAAGGCTTTAGATTTTATCTTAGCACAAGTCTAAGATAAGTAATGATGAGCTAGAGACATGAGCTAAGTCAGAACTAAACCAGTGAGCTAATGCTCAGAGCTCAGGGAGAGCACATCTAGAAGGGCTCACTAAAGGGATTGAAGGTGGGAATGGAAGTACTTCTGGAGAAATGAGGAGAGTCAAGTGCATTATAGGAGGAGGGCTGTGAGGCCAAAGTCTCTGAGTCACCTGACTTGCCAGCTGGTTGATGCTATTTATGTTGCAGGCCAGCAGAGTTTGCTACTGAGTTAATTTTACCACTCGCTTTGAGAAACTGGGCAAACATGATGGGCAATATATGTGGTGAACTAAAGAAAAGGTGTTGGAAAAATGAATGTTTTGCCCAGGTGGAAAGATTTCTGGTAAAGATAGGCATAGAATTGGAGAAAACTATGCCTTTGCTCCTTCCATTTGGCCTTTTTTTTTTTTTGGTGTGTCTTAAATAATGTGATAATTATGTCGCCTTATTGAGTGATTTTTTTAAAAAAGATTCTCCTCACACAAAAAATAAATGAATGATTATTTGCTTCTTGTTAGCTCCATCCATTTTCCAAGTGATAATGGGGTCCATTTCTGTTTGACTTCCAAAATTTGGCATGTAATACTCAAAGTGACACCTCAGGTGGAAACACCAAGATTTTGGATTTTGAGTCTTTGGTCAGATGTTTTGCCTGGCAATGTTATTCTTCTTTATGCATGGTTATAATTCTCTCTTTTAGCTGTCAGAGATGTCACCTTCAGTTATCTGACCCATTTTCTCTTTAGAATAGCTTATCAGGAGTCTACAAGATACATATGGGCAGAGACATCTCTTATCAAAACTTATTCCCTGGCACCTTTGCCCAGTTCCTATCATTTCAGGTGCTCAGTCACTATTCATGAAAAAGAGTAAACACTATAATACTACAGGAAAGAATAATACCAATACATATTAGATACATAATTTGAAAGGAAAATAAAAGATATTTTGTAAGTTCTTCAAGGTTCTTCATGGGGGGTTTTCACCTAAAATTATGTGGAATATTCAAAGAAAGAACAGGCAGTTGATTGTAGAATCATTTTCAAGTTTCAGTTTTTAATAACTAGAATATATGAATGAGAAATAATGACTTGGACAAATGGAAGACTCACTCTCCACTTTTCTTTCAGTGGTCTTCAAGTACCTGCAGAGATACCTGGCATACTTTCCTTGTCTCCTCAGACAATAAAGAAAGAATTTCAATTTTACAAGTGATCCAAGGCCTTATCCCCATACTCTTGGCCTTTTTTAAACTTTAGCCAATGCCTTTGGGAACCAATTTAAATACTTCTTTCAAACAGTCAATGATGCCATAAACTCTAATGAAGGACATCTGTGTCCACTTCCCTGAGTTTGAATTGTGGAATCAGATTTTGGAACAGATGTTTTAATAGAGTATGACAGCAGAAACATTGTTTCTTTCCTCTAAAAATTGCATTTGTACAAATATTATAAAAATGAAGATTAATCTTATTTAAAGAACTTGTCTCCTTTTCCCACTAATCACCCAACTGGACTCCCTTTCACAACTTCTTTTCATCTTGGTATCCTATGAGAATAAATCCAGGCCAAGTTAATTTGGTTGAAAGAGATTTTTGTCCTGTAACATCTGGGCCTATGAAAACATCTCCATGTGATGTGCCATAGTTTATTTGCAATTGACTAAATTAGACTCAAGCACCACAGCCACATTTTGGGTTATCTGTTGAAGATAGCAAAGCCACAAAATAAAAGGTACTCAGATCCCTGAATCATCTTCAGAAAACAGCCAGCCAGAGTCATCTGAGCAGGAAGTCCTGCATCGAGCTTTTATAGGAAGGAAAGGTGAATTTGCATATTGATCTAATTACTAATTATTTTCTATTTATCTGTTACAGCAGATAGCATCAACTTAACTGACAAAAGTTTTTTAAAATACTATCCTGAAGAAATTTTTCCATAAAAAAAATGAATTTCCAACTTAGGAAACAGCAAGTACCCCTTAAAGATTTAAGCAGATAAATAAAATTATAAGTGATCAGCTTAAGAAAATAATACATGTTCTTTTCTGCAAACATTTTTTGCAAAATTGTGATACACAATATACTTTTGATATAATCTAATGACTGGTTTCAGATTTTTTGAGCTGGTTAAAAAATCTGAAATGACATTGCTTTGTTGGCTCAGGAAACAATAATGTAATTGATTAGAGAGATTCATGAATATATAATAACTTTCCTGTTTATTTGCTGTCTTTTCTTTGAGGATTGTTAACAAGGGAAAAACACACTTCAATATTCTCTCTGACAACCTCCCAGGCATCAGGGCCTTATTCTCTTTACTTTAAGTAGGTAATGATTCTTTGGGAATATTTCCTGACAGCAATTCCCAAATAGGAACAAGATAGATTTTCTACTTTTGTAGAAATTTACTTGTGTCAGCTGGAGTTGTTCCAGGTTGTGATCAAGGCTGTAGAGTGGTTTACTGAGGAGGATCTTATGTCAAGCAGCCAAAGTGTCCTTCCTGGGGAAGAGGCTAAAGATCTGCAGGAGCTGCTGATGGCGGAAACAGATGGCTCCTGTCTTCTGGATTTGGGTGATATTTCCTTTTTTCCTAGAAACCTTAGGCTTTATCATCAGGCATGACTGAAAGGGGGTATTTTCAGCTGTGTGAATAGTACTGAGGTTTCCTCTCGCTTTCCTTATTTTCTAGCCATGGCTCCAAGGCTTGTCTTGCTAAGTCAGCAGGCAGCGATGAGATGAGCATGACGACTCCCGCCAACAGCAGGGAGACGCGGGCCACTGCGATTTCAGAAATTCACTGGCCCGCCGCGAGGGGGCGCTGCAGGACGCAAAGAGCGCTGCTCCCCCGCCGCGCACCAAGGCAGCAGCGAGGGGCCGCCAGGGCCTTTCCAGACGCCCAGGGTTTGGGAACCGCGTTCCTGGCGGGTTTGAGTTTCGGGGCGTCGCGCAGCCCCAGGGAAAAGTCGCTGAGGCTTATCGCGTCACCTTTGTGCAGCTTCAACCTAAGTTGCCGGGCGCTGTGGCTCACGCCTGTAATCCCAGCTCTTAGGGAGGCAGAGGCGGGAGGATAGATTGAGCCCAGGAGTTCGAGACCTGCCTGGGCAATATAGCAGACCCCATTCTCCACAAAAAGAAAAAAAACAAAAAAGACAAAAAAAAAAAAAAAAAAGCGTAATAACCTAAGTAAAAAAAAAAAAAAAAAAATCTTTGCTCCTGAGGAGGCAGCTCCGTCGTGGTCTCCCCCGAGACCTCCTCAGGTAGCCAGCAGGGCACCTTTCATTTTCGGAATGTTCCCCTGGGTTTGGGGCTTTATTCCCCACACAGACTTCAGCGAGGCTTATTTTTACAGAAGGACCAGTTGGTTCTGGGGCTTGAGGACTCGAGCTCACACGGGTTTAATCTTCAGGATTCTGTTTGTGTGGGGGTGCGGGGCGGGGAAGGCTTGGGGAAGGGGACACACTGGACTCTAGGGCGAGAGGGCGGGTCCTGGGAGCACCCGGGGCTGGGGACGCTGCGCACCAGGCCGGGAGGAGGGAGGCGCCCTCCTGTCAACTTAAACATTTGTAAACTTAAGTTTACAAATGCAAACTATATAGATTATATTTATACTAAAGATTGCTATCCGTATTACTCGGTTCTCAAGCTGCTTATAAAGACATACCCAAGACTAAATAATGTATAAAGAAAAGAGGTTTAATTGACTCACAGTTCCACATGGCTGGGGAGGCCTCACAATCATGGCAGACGGCGAAGGAGGAGCAAAGTTAGGTCTTACATGATGGTAGGCAAGAGAAAGCGTGCACAGGGAGGGGAACTCCCATTTATAAAACCATCGGTTCTTGGGAGACTTATTCACTACCGCGAGAACAGCGTGGGAGAAACCGCCTCCGTGATTCAATGATCTCCACCTGGCTCTACTCTTGCCATATGGGGATTACTACAATTCCAGGTGAGTTTTGGGTGGGGACACAGCCAAACCATATCACTATAATTTACAATGTTCAGATTCTCAGCCAGTAATTTCCAAACTTTATTTCATTTAATCTTTACAGTTTCTAAAATGACAACTACTAAAATAATCTCAATTTTTCCAACTAGGAAAGGAAAATCTGATGTTTAACTTGCTAAGCGTCACAGATTTTGTCAGAAAGTAGAGCTTTCTACTGCCTCCCAATTCCCCTCTTTATTTGCTCTCAGTACTTCCTCTTGGCTGTACTGAGAATGCTAGTGCTAATTAATCATAATCGTGTCTTTAATGTCTAGCTTTTGCTCCCTGGAGGGCAGTTATCATCCTTATTATCCTTGAATCCACATTGCCAAGCACATTGTTTGTCACATATATGCAGTGAACACATTTTTAGTGACAGAATGAAGACAACTGGATGAGTTAACCCTTGGTATGCCAGTTTTACGCCCTGTTATCTGCAGATTGTAAATTGTGTGTCCTTTAAGGAAATGTGGAAGAAATCAAATCTAGTGAATTAGCTCTTAAAAGGCAGATGAAGAGAGGTGAGGAAATGTGTATTCATTGCAATTTAATAAATAAAAATGGGCTGGGCACAGTGGCTCATGCCTATAATCCTAGCACTTTGGGAGGTGAGGTGGGTGGACGACTTGAGGTCAGGAGTTTGAAACCAGCCTTGCCACTTAGTGAAACCCATCTCTAATAAAAAAAAAAAAATTAGCCTGGCATGGTGGCAGGTGTCTGTAATCTCAGCTACTTGGGAGGCTGAGGCAAGAGAATTGCTTGAACCTGGGAGGCAGAGGTTGCAGTGAACAGAGATCACGCCATTGCACTCCAGCCTGGATGGCAGAACAAGACTCTATCAAGAAAAAGAAAAGAAGGAAGGAAGGGAAAGAAGAAAGAAAAGAAAAAAGAAAGTAAAAATTACATCTAAGATAAAACCTCTAAGTACCATTATTAGGATTTTAAGAGAAATAGACTGAGACTCAGACAGGTTTTTATTTAAACATTGGTTCTCGGCTGGGCGTGGTGGCTCATGCCCGTAATTCCAGCACTTTGGGGGAATGAGGCGGGTGGATCACGAGGTCAGGAATTTGAGACTAGCCTGACCAATGTGGCGAAACCTCGTCTCTACTAAAACTACAAAAATGAGCTGGGCGTGGTGGCACATGTAATCCCAGCTACTCAGGAGGCTGAGGCAGGAGAATTGCCTGAATCTGGGAGGTGGAGGTTGCACTGAGCTAAGATCATGCCTCTGCACTCCAGCCTGGGCAATAGAGTGAGACTTCATCTCAAAAAAAAAAAAAAGCAAAAAACATTGGTTCTCATTTAGAGGAATACCTCGTATTAGATGAGATTTCTGCCATTTTCTGAGTGTTTAATTTCCATTGTAATACAAAAGAATTGTTGAAGTCATGACATTATCTGAGATCCGTAAATAGAATAGAAAGTGAACAAAATGGAAACATTGAGATAAATACAAAAACTGAAAATCCTAGCCTTGTTATGTAATAGTCTCACAACAAGAAAGTGATGAGACAGCTGGGTGAAGGCTCACAAGGCACGGCCAGCTGCATCACACCAGTGGCCCTGCCAGCCTATTCACTAGGGACACGGAGGATGATCTTCTCCAGCTCTCTCTGTACCCTTAGCTATGACCTGGCCCAGCACCTTGGCTTGCCAGAAGCAGAGACCTTCACAGTTCTGCACCAAATTGACAGAATCTTCCTTTTCTTCCTGTCTGAAGGACAAGAATGTTTTCAGGTTCTCCTGTAGCAAGCAGACGGATGACACCAATTTCCAAAAAGCTCAGGCCATCAATATTCTCCATGAGATGAGCTAGCAGATCTCCAACGTTTTCAGCACAAAGGGCTAAAATTCCTTACTGAGCTTAATCAATAGCTAGAACCTCTGGAAAATTGTTTTGGAACAGAAAATGGAAGAGACCTTCAGTAGGAAAACTCCAACCTGTCTGTGAAGGGTTATTCCTGAGGGACCAGTCTCTAACTGAAAAAAAAAAGTACATAGCTGCTGTGTCCATCGGTACATTGGACATTGTCCTACCAGTAATTAAGAAGTAAAAATCAGTAAGTTATTTCTTTGTGTTAGTAGGCTTATCAGAAAACTCAGAAGATTGAAAAAGACTTAGACATAAACCTCATTTTGGTCAATTGGGTCTCTATTAATATGTCACTTCAAGTTCAATTCAAAGACTTTTCTTCTGCTCCTGTAATAAAATGTATTGAGTCATTTTTGTTAGACTTTTTCAATAAGAAGAAATTGTACAGTACTTTTGAATAAAAGGAAATTACATTTTTAGTTTGTAACAATTACAACGTATCTCATGATACTTGTCTCCAAATTTTATTCTTATAAATACGGTCAGTTTTGCCTTCTGGTTTCTTTTGCTTGTGGAGGATAGGAGAAAGTTAAATCTTAACTATAAATGTTGGGTCTTAACTCATCCTCTTGAAAAGATACAGTGTTCTTAAATGTTGAATCTGCCTTCAATTTCAAAAAGAACACAATTGGTTTTATTTATTTCGTTGCTTCATAAAATATTTTGAGTATATGTATATCAAGTAATGTACTTATTTAGTGAATATATTGGTAAATAAAACAACTGTATTATTTCTGTAGTGGAGCACTCTGGCAAAGATGACCCATCTTATAGGGTAAGTAATCAGTAGAAACCCTTTCTAGGGCTATGAAAAAGATGCACAAAACACTTTGGCAGATTTTATAGCTGAAACTAATTCAGTTTTACTTATGTTTCTTGCAAAATTATGTCCAGTGGTTGTTGATTCAATTTTAGCAGTTGCATGAACTAGAAACTAAAATATGGAATAATTTATCTTGAAACTTCAACAATTAGTGAATATACTTTCTATTTGCTGACACTATGAAATGTGCCAGGCACAATGAAAAAAGCAGACATATTTCCTGCTTCCAGAAAATGACAGAGTTTCTAGTCTAGTGGGATATGGGCAAGTGAACATTTAATGAAAGTAATGCTAATGGCTGTGATAGGGAAAGTATAGGATTCTAGGAGCATGTAGGACTTGTGTGGGACTGGGAGAGCTTCCAGAATTAGTGACTGCTAAGCTGGCATCTCAAGGATCTGTGGGAGCTAGCCAAGTAAAGGCATGGTGGTCAAAGTGTCAGAAACAGGGAGCGGCAGATATGAAAGCTTTTATAATATAACCTCTACTTTCTGCTCCAACTGGTGGCCAGAGGGATGATGTACGAACAAGGGACTGAAAGAAGATTTAAGTACACAGAGGTGGAGGCGAGGCAGGCACAGAAGGAGAGCAGAAGTTGGAGTAGGAAGTAGAGGTTACATTATACAAAAATCTTTGCAAGAAATTAGGGGATTGTAATTCACGGAAATTATCGTTGGAAACATTGAAATGTTTCAAGCAGTGCATTGATGTAACCAAACACGTATTAAAAGTACTTTTCCAGATGCCCTTTGAATACTGGATAGAAGTTTGAATGTGTACCTTATAGTAGGAATGAGTCAAGTAAACCCATCAGGACACATTTATTTATACAAAAGGAGAGAGATCATAGGTTTGGAAGATATTTATTTGGTTGCATTAGTAGACTCTAGTTGAAAGTAAAACTAGTTGAGTAAACAGAGATATTAAAAAGACGTTGATGCTCATTGAACTATTGGGATGCTTTAGAAACAAGCAAACAGACATAAAAATTAAATGCTCTTTAAGCATTCATTCCATGAATCATTCTTAACCATGGTAGCTCCTTCTAAGCAAACACCTTTTTTCCCCCCAAAACACCTGCATATTCTTTCTTGTAGTCTCCTCCTACTACTTGTGAATTTCTTTCTCTCATTTATACCCTTGTGCCTTTCTTAAATGGGGCCAAAATGAGGCCATCATTTTCCTCCTCTCCTTGATTCAATGTCTGTGATTTTACCTGAGATATTAGATCCTCTTTTAGAGAAATGGTTAATAATTACCCTTGATAATTTTATCTCTGTCATATATGATCTATACTTGAAATATTGGGTCACAATCTAATGTATCATAAGTGCTACATGAATGATTTAGTGATGAAGAGATCTCAGGTTATCATGGTTATATGGCAAGGTTTCATTAAAATAGTGTTTATTCTTTACATTTGTTTGAGGATAGAGAACATATTCCTTGATGCTGCCTTTATTTTCTTATGGCACATTAATCCTGAATTGATAACTAATTAAATATTTCAGTGTTGCTCTGATCATGACCACCGAGGGCCTGACAGACAAATCACACAGGCTTCTTTCAGTCTTTATCAAAAATATGATGATGATGATGGTGGTGGTAGTGATAGCAACTACAAATTATTTTCCCCTTTCTGAGGGATTCATTTAATCCTCCCACCTATAATCTCATTTACCAAAAAAAACCACATGCTAATGGAGTGTATGTAACTAAAACAATCTAGTAAATAAAAGGCAAATATAGGTTTCAAAACCTTTGTCAGACTTCAAACTCCACCTCCTCACCCACAGCATTACATGCCTGTGGAAATTGTATGTACTAAACCATCACATATTTTCTAGAAAGCCCTACACTTTACTTATAATACACTGATGTTTCTTTATGGTCTCCTACAATTCTCAAATTGATGACAAATTATCCAATATTTTCACCAATTTGTGCCTCACCTACAAATGTGTAGATGTGTTCGCAAAATGACAAGAAAATACCTTGACTATTTTATATAGTTGGCAAAATAAAATTAACATTTGGTAGTTATTTTGAGAGTCTGAAATGTGATCAACAAAATAATTCTAATAATTACTGGTATAAAATAACCACCCAGGTGGCTCATATACATTGCTCAGTTAATTGGCACCATAAGTTTACAAGGTTCACGGGAAACACGATCTGTGAGACTTACAGCCTCTGGACCAGAGAGTGAGTTTCTTACAATTATTTCAGTGACTCCTGTAGAAAACAGAGCTAGTGGCTCTTGTGGGTTGAAAAGGGAGGATGCTTCGGCTTCCAATTTACATGACTATAGAAAATGATTGGGAAACTAGAAAATGACATATACTGAAGAGTGAAACGTGAAGGACAGCGGAGCAGAGCGGAGCAGGTGATGATTGCCATCAGCAGAGATCAGGACGTGGAGAATTTCAATCACCAGGGCAGCAGTGACACTAAGCGCGCGACCACTGCCAACGGCGCACAAAGCTCCCTTCGCTGCTCCACACAGCCGGCAGAGGACGCCAGACCAGGGGCAAGGGACCCACCAGCGACCCTGACTCGCGGGCGCCGCTTCCGCAGGGAGACCGGCGCTCCGGGTCCGCAGAGACCAGGCCGGGTGGCGCGGGGCGTGGGTTCCGCGGGCCGCCTCCGCAGCAAGTCAAGGCCGCCTTTCACCGCTCTGACTGCAGCGCTACCGCCGCCTCCGCCGAGATCGTTCTCTTAGGGAACATTGCAGCGAGGCCGTTTTACCAATGTGCCGGTGTACTGAGGGAACGAGCTGACGGTTCAAAATCAGATCGTGCGGTAGTCTGTGTTACAGATTCGGGGCCGCTCCAGCAGAGAAAAACCCAGATTCAGAGGAAGGGCCAAGTCATGCACCATCGGGACGGAGTCTGCAAAGCGCTGTCCACCTTTCAGTGGACAGGGGCACCCCGGGGAAAAGGAAAATGTGTGCCCCTATGTAGGCGATTTTATTAAGTTTTAATGGTTATTTTTTCCTACAACAAAACAGTTGAAAACTAAAAACTATTAAAACACATTATTTTAAGTTTAAATATTGGGCCAAAACCAGACTTACTTTTTTTCGGTAAGTTTCTGATTTTAATGTAAGCAAACATCAGTATACTTTCAAAGTTACTTTTCTGCTGATCTCCTTTTTAATTAAGAGCATTACCATGTTTGGCAATATCTCATGAACCAATAACTATCTTCATTAATTTCACCTTATAGGAACGTTTTAATCTCATTTATTTTAAGCAAGGGCTTTCTATGAAGCATTCAGCTTTACATGCTGTATAATCATGGTTTTCACTGGAGAATTTAACGTTTTCCACTTGGTGCAAAATGTCATCTCACGTAGATAAATTGCATAAAAATGTGTAACCTGTTTGCATTAAGATGCTTTCCATTTCAGCATAATGTAGGTTTGCAATTGATACCATTTACTACTTAATACGTATCTTATGTGCCAATAAATTGATTTTGATTTTTATGTTCCTAGATATCCATAAATGTTTTAAATGTAGGTGCTTAATACAGACATAATTTCTCATCTGCTAGTTGAATTCAAAAATGTATATATACTCTTTGTACAATACTTTTAAAAGTTTATCTTAATTCACAAATGCAGAATTTTACATAAGATTTTGATCTGAGTAAGGCACAAATGTGACATAATCATTTGGTTGGGAAATAATGGCTTTATCCCTTAGTTTATACCTGCCACCATTGCCCCATTATCATATACTTGGCTAGTGTCATTTTTATGTTCAGATCATTTTCTAGTTTAACAATTTCACAAACTAGATATATCAAAATTTTTCTTTTATTAAAAAAATGCTAATAAAGCAATTGTTAACATCATTCTTGATGTGAACATAATTGGCTCTATATATTGTATAATCAAAAAATATTTTGTGTATTCTTTCTCAATAGTGGTTCATATCTAACATGATAACCTATAACATTATGACTCATTTTGGACTGTATTAACAAAAAAGACTCAGAATCTTTTGTATTATTAATTATCTGAGTAGCTATACCAATATTATAATAACTAAAAAGCTCAACTAAAATTGAGAATATTCCAGAGTTTGAGCTTCTAATGCTCTGAGACCTTTTAAGAGGTGAATTATTTTTTGCATGAAATAAAACAATATTGAAAATAACTTGCAAAAATTTTCTAACATTTTTGTTTCTTTGATTTCATTGTTTCTGTCAAACATTATCTGGTAAATTATGAGACTGAAATTTTATAAATTTTCTATTTTAGGAAACGTGATGAAACATCAGATCTTCATGATCACAAGTTTTGTTTTAGTCTTACAAATCTTTGAACATATTTTTGAGGTGCTATTATTTGATTATGTTGTATTACGGTTAGAATGTATGCATGGAAACGATTTTATCCTTTGGAATAAAAGAGGATGTCACAATGAATCAACTCTTCATTAGAACATTTTTACAAAACCAGTTTTTGGGTAACATTTAGCCATAATGGAATAGATTTTCAAAAATGAATGCTGTCCTTAGTCAAGCATGAACAACTTTTTAGAGGGCCAAATGGGACACAACCATAGCAGACAAATATATATATATAATTACATATATGGTGCCGTTTTTTAACATGAAAATAACAGAGCCAGATGTGCTATCGTGTGCCTGTAACCCCAGCTAATCAGCAGGCTGAGGCAAGAGGCAGGAGGATTGCTTGAGGCCAGGAGTTTGAGACTGCAATGAATTATGATCATGCCACTGCACTCCCACCAAGACAACAGAGTGAGATGCCACCTAAAAAAAGAAAAAAGTACAACACACAGAAATTGCAAGTATCTTAGGCATATAGCACAATGAATGTTCATACACTGAATGCACTAGGAAACTAACACCTGTGGTAAAAATAAATGAAAGGTTTTGCTCAGGACCTAGAAGCCTTCTGAGTGTTGCCTTCTCATCACTACTTAAAACCAGCTTTCCTATTTGTTCTCTGCGGGCAGCTACTCTGACTTCTAACAGTTGTAATTATTTTTGGTAGGCGTATTTTGATGTCTTTTTTGTGTATTCACTCATTGAATCCTTACAATAATTCGATGGAAAAAAATACTATAATCGTCCTCATATTAAAGATGAGAAAACTAGGCAGCACACATTTAGACTATTTTACAAGGTCAGAGCTGGGATCCCGCCTATAAACTGTGGCTGCAGAATTACACAAACAATCCTATGACAAATAACGGCAAGCTGAAAAAGTAGTCCAGTTCAATACAATTAGATGCGTTGAAGAATAACCCCTAATGTCCGCATAGCACTTTGCAGTGGTTTTACACTTATTATCAGCATTCATACCTTCTAAATTGTGCCTCAGAAGGTTGTAGGGAGCATGAAGTTCACGTAAGAGAAGAAATTTGCCTGAAGGTCACAGCTGAAAAGGAATACAGTCAAATTTGAGCAGGGGCATAACCATTATATTTTTTCTCCTTTCCACAAAACAAGCAGAACCTGAGGCCAGGAGGGCTAGGAGTTGTAGTCTCCTCTCTCCAGTCAGCCCATCTTGACACTCTGCAGGTGGGGGATGCTAAACTAGTGTGAAAATCACTGTTTCTGGATGTAACGTTTAGATGCACTCCAAACTCCCAGACTCCTTGAGGTAGCCTGGACTGCACTAGTGCTGGTGATAGAAAATTTGTTTATAATGTAATTTCTAGGATGATTAGAGGACAATTAGGGGGGAGGAGTGAGGCACTGGGTGAGCAGAGCAGAGGTTCTCTGTAAACAGGGGGTTCCACTAGGGTGACCTGTGGGTACTTGATCTGTCCTAACAGCCCACACAACTTTGGAGGAGGGGATCATGGCAACTATTGCGGGCACACAATTTTATACAATATCGATATTTGGGTGAACTTAACTGTCAAAATAATTGTATGCTAAACAATGCAGTTGTAATTTTTAACAAATTTGACAAATTCTATTTGTGCATTAAAGAGCCCAGAATACCAGATTCTGCTGAGTTTCTTACATTCCATGTTTTTAAGCTGCTGCTGGCTCTAGGAACTTCTTCACAGTTCTTGATGCTCACTTTCATTTATTAAGCAAATGAGCATCATATGACTGGTGCTGTCTCCTCCTAGAGGAATCAGACTGTCAACATACCTAAACAAATCCACAATGAGCTACTGGATTTCTTTACTGGCTTGTGAAGTATAGATGTATGGGCAGTGTTGGTACTGCAGATTCCTCTATTACTGCATTTCTGTGCTTGGCTGTTCGTCTATGGAGACCCGTCGACTTCAAGGCAGGCGTTGGCAGGCAGGCAGAATCAATGTGTATATGCCTTCAAATTCCGCTGCTTCCTGCTGACACTACACTATGATTCCCCAAAGACATTTGTGACCAACATAAGTTGTGACCCGAGTCTCTCGTAATCCTCTTCCCAAGTGAGAATGCACCTTCAGCAGCTAGCGGTCAGAGGCTGAGAGAGACAGGCAGAGTGGGTAAGTGGCTCAGTGCTGCAGCAGATCAACTCTTATCCCCAGCTCTGCTGCTACCAGCACCTCCTTGGTTCTCCAATTATTTTGAATATAGAGTTGACCCTTGAACAACAGGTTTAAACTACTAAGGTCCACTTATAATTGGATTTTCTTTCACCTCTTGAGACAGCAAGAGGTGTCTTTTTTTTTTTTGGTCATAAAAATGTGAAAACATTTTATTCTATTTACAATAATGTACACAAATTTAAACAGGTCACCAAAGAGACCAGAAGTAATTAAAGAGGTATATTTACAGTAGCACATCACAGTAAACAGAAAACCATTCACAGATTCAACATTGATACTGTTTTTGTGCTTGGTTACACACTGAAGGTGAAGGATATTACTCCATTTTGGATAAACTGAATTTTAAACAAATGCCTCAATGATTAATAAATGCTATTTTAATCAGTCAGTATCATCATTAAGTTCTTCAGCTGCTGTGCCTGTAATCACTCCATTTCTTTCTCTTTGAACATCATCATCACAATCTGTACTGTCATCTTCGTTCAATTCCCTGTCAGATTCTGCAGCAGCTTCTCATATAGGTTCCTCTGGATTTTCATTGGGTGCAATAACTCCATTGCTGTTAGATACATTTGAGTTATCTTTGATATCATCTTCGTTGTATACTTTTTGATGGCACAATGGACAAGTATCTTGAATGTACAGCCATTTCCGAAGGCAAAGTGCGTGGAAATAATGATTACATGGTGTAATACGAGCAGATGTTGTAAACTCATGATAGCAAATTGCACTCTCGAGACAGCAAGACCCACCCCTCTCTTTCTTCCTCCTCCTTCTCAGTTTAGTGTAATGATGACCTTGACAATGATCCATTTCCACTTAATGAACGATAAACATATTTTTTTCTTATGATCTCCTTAATAATATTTTCTTTTCTCTAGCTTGCTTTATTGTGAGAATATACCATACATATAACATACAAAATACGTGTTAATTGACTATGTTATTGATAAGGTTTTCAGTTGACAGTAGGCTAAGTTAAGTAGTTAACTAACTTAGTTAAGTTTTTGGAAAGTTAAAAGTTACATGCAGATTTGTTACTTTGAGGGGGGTCAACCTCTAACTTTTGCATTGTTCTAGAGTTAACTATGCATAAAGTCATAACTCTTGAGATGGCAACAGACATTTTCAGGGCAAAGTGACAGCACAGAGTTAGCTAGGATAATCCTTACACACTAAAAATAGCAATGTAATAACATGAACAAAAATAAGTAAAACTATACATTATGTATAAGTTATATGTGTGCTTGTGTCTATATGTAAGTCTGTGTGTGTGTGTGTGTGTATATATATATATATATATATATATATAAAATACAATACCTAATCTTCTACAGCATCCCATGAATAGACAGGATTATAATAATTGAAATGTTAGCCAATTAAAGAAAGAAACAAAGAGAGATTCAATAATTGCCAAGCCTTTCCCTTGCTCCTAACCTGGTCCACCCAGAAGCAGTAGTGGAGAAAGGAGAAAGGACAAAAATCTATTAAGATATTACTAAGCCCCTTTCCCCCAATTTGTAGGGAAGCACACTGAAGCATTGGCTAGGAAATCTGACACAATAATTCAAGAAACGCTCCCAAACTGATGTTCCTTCCCAATGCCTCAATGTACATCCACACACACACACACCCACACACAAATCTTCTTGTTAATGCACACACACACGTACACACACACATGCACACAAACCTCCTTGTTAATGATCTCAAATACAAAATTGTGCAGGTTAGAGAGTAACATCTCCCAAATTCTACCAACATCCATATGCTTCCATGAAAAAGCCTCTGACTGTCAGTTGGCAATATAGAATTCGCTAACATTTCTTAAAACACATCTGAGCTCTCTATTTGACTAATGTGTTGATAAATATATTTTCAAATTATATAGGCAGACATTATTATCTGATATTCTTAATGAACCTGTGAAACTGGAAATTTACTGTTGACAAAGGCGTTTCACACACTACCAACTATGAGATTTCCGGCTGACTTAACCTACCACTGCACTTCCATACTGAGTTTTTCCATCTCCACTTCACAGGGTGGGTAAGAAATGTTAGCTAGGAGGTTGTGACCTGCACAACAGTTGAAAGCAGGAAGCGTGTTTTAATCCCTTTCTTCCCCATAAAAGCCCATTGCCCAAAGAGGCCAGGCCCTATCTGAAGCTGGAGACTTGTGCGTTTTGTAAAAATATAAGCCAGTATTATTCCAGTATTAGTTCAATTCTTGCCAAGAAAGGGCCTGTGTCTTTTGGAGGTGAATCCCCAGGAAGGGATAGGACTTGTGCACAGAGGAGAAAAGCCTTCCCTCTACAGATGTGGTATCTGCGCTTCCATATATGGCCAGAAGGGGCTCACTT